TTTTTGACCTGTTGTGGTAAGGTGGTTGTTGGTTGGATGTACTAATACATGCCTAGGTCAAACACAAACCGGTACATATCATGCCTCTTTCTCACAGGAGAAGAAGCAATGGGTCACTTTGCGCTGGTGGTGGTGGTGTTGTGTGAACCACTCTCATGATCAAGACTTGTCAGACATTATGTTATCAGGTAACTATCTGAACGCATGAGCCGGTGCCCCTTTCTCTTCTCATCATCTTCTGGATCATGACGAGGGAGAGGTGGCTGAGATCATACGGCCTCGGAACTTGATCTGGATAATACCAGCGAAAGGATCATGCTTCTCGCTCCTCCCCTTTGTTTTTCGAGGATGAACTCCCCCCTAACATCCCTAGATAACATACAACCCATCACAATGGCCCCCTCCGCCGTCACCCCTCCCCAGAAGCCCGCCGTCCTGGCCACCCACCCCCTGAAGTCGGTCAACCTCGACAACAAGACCGACGTCACGCCCACCCCCGCCATCAAGGATGACCTCGCCGCCCTCTTCAACAACTGGGACTCGTTCACCTTCGCCCCCATCCGCGAGTCCACCGTCTCCCGCGCCATGACCCGCCGCTACTTCAACGACCTGGACACCTACACCGAATCCGACATCACCATCGTCGGCGCCGGCTCGGCCGGTCTCTCGTGCGCCTACGTCCTCGGCACCCTCCGCCCCGACCTCAAGATCTCCATCCTCGAAGCCGGCGTCGCTCCCGGCGGCGGTGCCTGGCTCGGCGGCCAGCTCTTCTCCGCCATGGTCATGCGCAAGCCTGCCCACCTTTTCCTCGAGCAGGTCGGTGTTCCGTTCGAGGACGAGGGTGACTATGTCGTCGTCAAGCACGCCGCGCTCTTCACCAGCACCATCATGAGCAAGGTCCTTCAGATGCCCAACGTCAAGCTGTTCAACGCGACGACGGTGGAGGATTTGATCACCAGGCAGGACGAGGAGACTGGGGAGGTGAGGATCGCAGGTGTGGTGACCCAACTGGACCCTGGTGAGCATGCA